GTCACTGTTCTTATATTAAACCACACTGACTGATGATCACTGGATCCTAAACTTTCACCTACAGTAATATTTGATACCAAATCTCCATTTGTTAACACTAAATCTAGTATGGCCTCTTTACGAGTTGGCTCTTCAACAACTTGTTTTAGAGACAATCCCAGTAGGGAGTTTAGAATATGTGTGCTCCTGGCACAAGTAGCTATTTTTGTTTTCCAATTTACATCAGGAAGATTAAAGTCACCCATGATGATAACTTCCCCCTTCATTGTCATTTTAGCTATTTCCTCAACTAGTAGATTATCTAACTCTTCAATTTGTCCTGGGGGCCTATAAATCACACCTACACGAGTTACTGTGTGATTACCAAATTCTAACGTAACCCAAACGGACTCTATGTTTGCCTCACTAACTTTTATTAGGCTAGATTTTATGCTATCCTTCACATACAGGGCCACCCCTCCCCCTTTCTTGCTTTCCCTATCTTTTCTATATAAAGAGTATCGAAGAAAAAATAATAAATTCACATATCTGAAGAAACACTCCAGATGTGTGAATAGTAACTGGAAATTAGGTTGAATAAAATAATATCAATAAAAAATGTTTGTGAATTTACCAGAAAAAAAGTCAAAAAATTATCAATACATAAATCTCTACAGCTTGATAGCTGTACCTCCCTGATGTCTATGTTAATTAATGTCAGATCAGACTCCTGACTTTAATGTTATATTCAGTGTCAATGTCTGAAAAACATGAAAATACAAATATCATAGACAGCAATTCTAATCTAACACAGCATTTACATCAAAGTATCAAATGTATGGCAAGCTAGCAACAAAATCTAATGTGATGCTGCTGCCTAGTTACTCAGATAGTGCTGTGTTACTCCTGTAACTATGAGGGGTGAAAATAACCTGTTAAATACTATTCAACAAACTTGCCACTTGTGTAACTGTATATGGAATTACGTTCGTTATATAGATACCCAACAGATACATACTGTCAAGTTCGCTAGAATAAACAGTAGAAATAGCAACATTGCTGTTAAAAAAAGAATTGACGGACTGATCGTGGCTGCCTGTGATACTAGATATAAAACCAGGTATACATGAATTCACTACCCCATTCGTACAAGGAAAGAATATGCAGGAGGAAAAGAAAAAACAAATTAGTACGTGCTAATGTGCAGGACCATACTTAGGATGTTGGTCCCTGCACATGGTGACAGTGTGCCCTGTGAAGTGAGGAAAAGAAAAGAAAACCCGACGCGCGTTTCGGTGCCACTAACGTGCACCTTCGTCAGGGGCTGAAAGTTTACTGACAACTGGGTCACTGTTTTATGCACATCTATTGCTACTGATTTAAAACGTGGACCAATCAATGATCAGAAAATCGTCGCCAAAATAAAGGAAAAACATATTATGCTAATGAACCTTTTGAAGGGTCCAATCAGAAGAAAAGCTCCTGCTGCTAGCTTTATTGGTTGCCGCTAGGTTCGGCAGTTTAACCCTTTCAGTGCTGGTAGAGCAGAATTATAAGGGTGAAAGTAGAATATATTTGTAGCCTGACAAATACCTTATATATTATTATTCCATGTCCATAGTTCCAAGATTCCTAGTAGATCGTCAGTTATCATCCAAATTATCCTAATTTATAACCCTTATACCGTAAGCACTTGTGAATTTTAAACTTGGGCACAATACCGAATAAATTAAGCCTCTAAAAAGGAGAGGTTTCAAATGAAAAGTCCGTGCATATATTGGTCTTTAGCCCACAGATAGCTTAAGAAATAGCTATAGTATACCGCATTAGGCTGGATGGCGTTACTAACAGCATCTCTATAGATGGATAATAGGATGTGTATGTGAAGATAAAAAGCAAGGTACCATTCGATAAGGTATTTCAAAAGGGCATAACATTAGGCTGCCGACTAGTGTGATGTGAAAATACCCAATGAATATCAAACAGACGAATAAATACCATCCAATTATGATCCTAAAAGGGTCTCGATTATGATGCTCTCGTCTGTATATATTCTTACTAGACCCATATCGATATAACCCATATCAAAAATTAACTCAGAAAGGGAGGGAAGGAATATATTAAGCTTATTCACTTAGTTCCTTCAGGGGTAAATTCTCACTGTTGTGTGACAAGACATGTGTATATATTGTGATCCTTGTTTGCAGGTAGCACGGTCCTCTAGGGTAAACAATAGGCACAGTCCTTGTGATTGCATATACTCCAGGCACTTTATTTGCAAATCCACACAGGATACAGCAGTAAATGAAAACATAAATGTAACAGGTTTCCCTTTAAACAAAAACCTAGCTCGTCTGAGCACTGACTCACTTTGAATAACCCTCTCTATCAGGGTTAAACTAACAAAACATACTGCACCAACCTTATTAGTTAGCAACACTCTGCTAGCTAGCCTGTTGCTTTTCTTTCTCCGCTCCAAGCCAGCCTTGCCCTGACTGCTTTCCTTTCTGCACTCCTAGTGCTCCAAGCCAGCCTTGACTGCTTCCTCCTGCACTCCCAGTGCTCCAAGCCAGCCTTGACTGCTTCCTCCTGCACTCCCAGTGCTCCAAGCCAGCCTTGACTGCTTCCTCCTGCAGTCCCAGTGCTCCAAGCCAGCCTTGACTGCTTCCTTTCTGCACTCCCAGTGCCTAGTCTCCTTGACTCTCTATCTGGAGAGAACAGCCTCTCTCCCACCTGCTTCCTGGGAGGAAGCCAGCAATCCCTCTCCTCTTTTTCCTGCCTAGCCGGGATGGGTTTATTCCCACTGCAACAGCTCATTAACTGCAGCTGAGCAGTGGGTTGGAGACGGTCCAAAAAACCCTGGCCTGGATCTACGTCTCCCCAGAAAACCACTAAACTGTAGAGTGGAGCATTGGCCCACCCTTCTCTCCAAATGCTCCACCCCAGGGGCCCATAACTAAACAAAGCTTTGTGTTGTGCAACACACAAACTACACGTACTTCCCCTGGGGTTAAAAGGCCTATCTGCCTTCACTTTATCACAATATATATATATATATATATATATATATATATATATACGTATGGTGAATAGTGATCAGCACTCTTGGGCTTTAGAAGGTTAAAACTTACAGTTTATTGAAAATCCATTAAAAGATCAACGTTTCAGTTCCATCTGGAACTTTCATCAGGATCAGGCATACATAACAAATAAAAACAGTGCATTTATATACCTAGAGTATAAGTGAAATTAGACAAAAATGACTTACCCCTGTGCTCTGAGTGGTGGGA